CCAAACCAAGGCTTCCCTAACGAAGCCTAAGTGAATTTCGGAGATCTGTTTGTCATTTATCCATTAATTAATTAATCGACCTTCACATCATGCCCCTACTGAGCTCTATCTCTCTCTCTCCTCTCTGTGCAACTATGCAAAGCAAGCAAGTCAAGCCATCCATGGCAAACCTCTCAAAAAACCTCCTCTTCTCTCTCCTCTTCATCTCTCTCCTCTCTCTCCTCCTATTCCTCCTCCCTCCTCCTCCCTCCTCCCACCACCACCACCACCACCACTTCTCTCTCCCCTCCTCCACCAGCACCTTCCCTCCTCCGCCCAAAATCGCCTACTTCATCTCCGGCACCGACAACGACGGAGGTCGAATTTTTCGACTCCTCAAAGCCATTTACCACCCTAGAAACCACTACCTCTTGCATCTCGACCGTCGATCGTCCAAGGATCAGAGGGATGAGCTCGCTCGGATGGTGGCTTCGGTCCCTGTGTTCGTTGATGCGGACAATGTGAATGTGATTGAGAGAGCCAATTCGGTTAGAGAGGAAGGGCCTTCGAGCCTCGCTTTGGTGCTTCACGGTGCGGCCATTTTGTTGAGGTCTAGGAGAGATTGGGACTGGTTTGTTAATCTCGATGCCTCTGATTACCCTCTCATTTCTCAGGACGGTACGTACGTTTCACCTCTTCCATTATATATGCCTTGGATTGTTCAACTTGCTACTTTACACTATTTAGATTGTTTTGATTTAACCTAGATATGATCAGTGTGTACTAGTTGAGCTGAAAAATGGGTAATTTATTTTAGGGTAAATTACATCGATAGCCTTGGAGGTTTAGTCCAATTACTACCACTCTGACCTTTTGAAAATTACATTCCCACCCTCCGGTTAATGGTTTCATTTCATAAACTTCCCTTATATAAAAGTTAACAGCTCCTGCTAGAAAAACAGAGGTAATTACATAAATAAATAAAAAAAAGGTAAAGGAAAGGAAAAAAAGAAAAGAATAGAAAGTAAAGCAAAGCAAAAAAAAGAGAGTGTGCATGAGTTCAATGTCTTTATTCTGTCTAAATAATTACAATGACAGGGGGTTAGTGTAATTTTTTAAACCTCAGGGTTGATATGTATTAAATCCAAATCTCAGGAGATGTAAGTGTAATTTAATCTTATTTTTATAATTTTAGCCTTTTTTTTTTTTTTTTTTTAAGGGTAAACTTCACTTTAACCTCCAATGGTTTTGGCCATGTGCGGTTTACCTCTTAACGTTTGGAAATGACCGCATAACCCCCACATAGTTTGTGGATTGAAGTGTATCGTTAGGCCCATTAACAATTTAATGAAAAAGACTAAAATACTCCTATATATAAGTAACTTAAGTGTGTGAACTATGGATATTTTCATGATTTGTTTAGAAGGCAAAGTATACTTTAACTCCTTGTGCTTTATTACATGTGTAATTTACTCCCTTGAATTTAGAAATGAGCATATAACTCCCTTATATTTGTCACGTGTTTCACACTTACTATTAAGTTGGATGAAATGTTTAACGGTGCATTTCAGTTTACAAACCATATGAGATTATATGGTCATTTTCAAACGTTAAGAGAGTAATGGCCAAAACCACAGGAAATTTGGCAAAATTTGCTCCCTTTTTTTATTTTTATGAATACTTCTGGGCTATAACAAGGTTCTAAATGAGACCATATTGATATCAAAAATTTAATCCATCTATTTGTTTTTTGAGTGCAGCTATTCAAACTAAGACTATTATGTCAAAATTACTAGTCGACTTACATGGATGTTGTTGTGGCAACAACATATGGGTCTACTTCTCATTTTTTGATAAATGTTTTTGAAAGCAGTGTTATTTATATATTTATTTTGGATGCATGAATTTTTTGTGACAGCCCTCCGTCCCATGTCGTCTTCCAATCCCTCATTCCATTGGAATTGACCGTCCTTGGTTTGACGTACATCGGCAAGACACTGAGCCCAATGGAAACACACCCTGCAAACGTGTGGCCTTTCTTATTTTCCATACTTATCTACTGGCCGACTATGGGACTCATGATTGCAAGGACATTCGACGGTGAAACTTGCTCTCAAATCTTGAGCTATGTTCTTTTCATCTCCGGAACGTTTTCTTGTGCCTCTTTGTTCTCAATTTTTCTACCAAATTTGCTCGGACAATTTGTTTTACATGCGTCCTTGCCCATAATTCTTGCAGTTGCCGCTTTGTTTTATTTTCACGACAGAATTGAAATTGCAATTGGTTGGGTGCGAGACAATTTAAACTCACAGACAATCGCAAATTCATTTGATTGGGTGCTAAACAAGTTCAACTTTGCAAGAGGTTGGGTGCAAGACAATTCAAACTCACAGACAATCACAAATTCATTTGATTGGGTGCGCAACAAGTTCAACTCTGCAAGAGGTTGGGTGCGAGACAATTTCAACTTACAGACAATTGCAAATTCATTTGGATGGGTGCAAAACAAGTTCAACTCTGCAAGAGGTTGGGTGCAAGACAATTTAAACTCACAGACAATCACAAATTCGTTTGATTGGGTGCGAAACAAGTTCAACTCTGCAAGAGGTTGGATGCGAGAAAATTTCAACTCACAGACAATTGCAAATTCATTTGGATGGGTGCAAAACAAGCTTAACTCTGCAAGAGGTTGGGTGCAAATGATGTAGCAACAACATCCATCTTCTCTTCCCATGACATCCTCTCCGGCCTAGGTATTTTTATTTGATTGTTGTAGCATCCATCTTCTCTTCCCACGACATCCTCTCCAGTCTAGGTATTTTTATTTGATTGTTGTGTTGCTCTATTTTATTTATTTATTTTTTTTGTTTGTTATGCAGGGTATCCTGGACCAACTTACATGTACCAAACTAAGTCTTTACAGGCCGAAACAGGGCTTGCACCCTGCGGTCTATGGCCGCAGGGTATGCATTTGCTAGTTAAGGGATTTGAACCTGAAACTTGGGAGGGAGCAAACCGCCAGACCCCAGTTGTCATCAAATAGGCCAACCCCCCTATGGTTGTTATGTTGCTCTACACTAGTAGCTAAGAATGATAAGTGGATTGTGGAAATATGTGGTTTTAAATAATTTGGACTTAAAAAATAATAATTATACAACTGTAATAATTATTTCTTGATTTGTATATTTTAAGATTGCCTTGTATTACATTCATAATATATATAGTTTTGTATTAAATGCTTATTTTCTTCTTGTACAAATCATAATAATTGAACTATATTTAAGATGGACTTCTAGGACAATATAAGGTACCTCCATTATGGAGGTGCCTTTTTGGTTTAAAACTCTAAATTTGACAATAATTCCTAATTTATCACTCTTAAATGATCTCTAATGATGTGACATTGAGATTAGATTCTATATGATGAAATGTTTGAAAATTAAAATTTGACATTTATTAGACACATCATTAGGATTTAAGAGTGGTTTTTAAAAGTGATAAATTACGTGTCTCAAGCATTTTTGAAATCTCAAATCCATAAAGTTAATTATAGGATTGGGACAATTTTTTTTAGACTTAATATAAGGATAGATTTTTTTGGCCACAATTTCAATAACAATTTAGGCTGTAAACAACAGTTTTGTTCGTGAGTAATTATCTTGTTTTTAGAAATTTTATATTGGCGGTATGCCTAACTAATAGTAAGGGATTTAAAAGTTACATAGACCTAAAAACAAGAGAATAATGAAGAAATGACAATACATTATTAAATAGGCACACAATCACATAATTTTTCTGACCGGAACAATAATTTCTGAGTGCTCGTATATTCCTTGGGCTGACCCTAGTTGCTATTTGATAATTGTATGTCCAAAACTCGAAGAATCAAATATTATAGATTTTAGAGTCCATTTTAATAGGTGTAGATTTCAAATCAATAGATTTGAGCTTGGGATCCTTTGTTCCATATTCTTGGTCCCCTCTCTATTTCAAAACTCTTATCTAGATGCACGTGTCCAACAAAGAAATTTTTTTTTTGCATCTGCGAGTTTAACTGATAGGGTGAACCATTTTTGGTTTGACTAATTCACTGGTTTAACTGCAATTTTATCAAAATGTATTAATTAAATTTTTTTGATCCAGAATAAATTAAAGATTGACGTAATTAAAAAAACGGCTAAGATTGCTTGATTTGAAATAAATTTCCTGCATAAACAATTGTTAACTTTTAAACAATTAAGAAAACTGCATTGGCTAGCTTTCATTTAACTTTTATTTTATAATCACACAACGAGAAAAGAAGGACAAAGTGAATTGTTTCACTTACATAAAGTGAATCTTATACTCTCATTTATATAAGCAAAATGAGATTTTTAGTGAGAAACCTTATGATCAATATCTCATACTAATTTTTTTAAATTTTCTTAATTTTAAATAATTAAGAAAATCCCAATTGACTAGCTTCCATTTAACTTTTATTTTACATAATATAAAAAAATTAAATATAATTATCATATTTTTATTAAATAATATATTATTTTATCCTGTGTATAGCACGGGTGATATGCTAGAATTCTATAAGGAAAAGTCTATGAACACAAAAATTTCCAAACACAGAATACACCAATAAGACATGTATGCGAACATGTTCGCATCTTTGCAACTACAATTGCAAAAATACTGTAAACCAAACCAATGAATTCCCCTCTATTTCTTCATTTCTTTCAATTTAGCAACAGACATTTCCACTGCTTGGCATTCTTCCACCCCCACCACTTCTCTTTGGATTTGTTGCACAACCCCATGCGACTCATAAGCAACCAGATCAAATGCATTTATTATAGCAGAGTCACAATTACTAACACGAAATTAGAAGAAAAATTATTTGATCTGGGTCTTTATTTGAGTTTATTTCCTTCCTCTATTTTGGGTTTGGGTGCTTTTCATTTTCATTTTAGTAGCTGACTCCATATTTGAGATTGCAGACTTGCAGTCATGTCTTAGTTCCAAGATCAGATTTTTTTTTTTTTTGGTAGTTTGAATTTGGATTTATATTTTTTGGTGTGATTTGGATTTAAATTAGAAGAGAAAAGAGAGAGGGGAAGGTGAGAGAGGGACATGGAAGCGGAACAGAGCACTCATTTGACCTTAAATGAACAAGGATAGTAATTCAAATTTAGATGCAATAGTTTAATAATGAATTTGACAATTGAATTAAATAGCTTAATCTTGAGGATTTAAAATAACCGTATAAAATTAGTTATCTGAAATCATGCCAAGTTTTGCTATTTTAACTCTAACATATATATATATCTTCTGCTCATTTTTTGCAACCAATTTTACTTATTACCTATCCATTGAATGAATTTTCTCATTATTATGATTAGGAACTGGTGCCCCAAGACTACCACCATAGAAAAATTCAAGAGTCTTGCAAGCATAGATTCAAATACCTCTTTTAATGATGCAAAGATCACATAGTATTTTCTAATCATATCTTTAGATAGTATTTATTATTAAGGTCATATGATCAAGAGAAAGTTCAAACATATCCTTACATATTAGAGGGCACGCTCAAAATCACCAACTTAAAAAAAAAAGACTCACACATGACGCCTTTTAACCCACAAGGCCATTCATTACATACAATCGCCTATATCTCGACCATTACTCAGCTTCCAAGCAAAATTACTCATAACCCATTTGAGTGCTAGAACATTAGCTAACAAATCCACTAAAAATGACTAAGATGCATCACAACCCTAACATTGCCCAAGACAAGGCCACATATTTGACCATAGTCATGAACCTTAGTGTGATAAAATGAACTGTAAAATGTGAGCATTGTTCTAGCTGAAATTGCTTGGAACTTGAAACTTGCATTCTTGAACCCACCTTTTCCATGAGATGCATAGGGAGCTTTTAGGGTTTCTTTTGCAACGAAAGCTTCGATCATCATCGATCCGTGGCAACCATTCTTGGCATCTCCAATGGAGAAAGTGAGGTTGTAGAACTTATTTGGGATTGTTCTTATGACTTGGGCAATGACTTTTTCTCCCT